GGAATGGTTTGGTTTGATTTTGGCCAATGTTACGCATATTACCTTTTATTTGTTCCCTTCCGAGGCACAATAAAAAGAAAAGAGCGCGGTGTTGTTTAAGACATCATCCTCTCTGTCCGTCCGCACCTCTGGATTGTCAGGAATTTGTTGACAGAAGCAATCAGACAATGCCCTTGCCCTTGCTCGTGTCGCGGCGCACGCCCGATGGCCCGCCTTTTGCTTTTAATTGTGTATAAAATATGTATAGACTAGCATATTTTAAAATTTTTAAATATGCATAAACTAGAACATGTCTTCAAAAAAAATATAACATAATAATTTGGATAAATCAGCCATAAAATAAAAAAATTAAATGAATATTAAGTAAAGCGATTTTCTTTTTTTTTCTTGAAAATAAGTAAGAAAAATTGCAAGACTTGGTATTTGTATTAAATAAAATCTATGTGACAGTCAGAAAGACACATTTACATCGTAACGTAACTAAAAGGACGATTTGGATGTCCTTTGGTCAATGTTTAGTCTCAGTCAAGACAATTTGTTTCCTTCTTATATTTTATTTTTAATTTGGGGTATGAACACTATCAGTTTACCAAAGGACATAGGAATAAAAGTTGTAGTTGCCGAGGTATGCCTATTTTTCGGAACAGGACATTCTATTTACGGCTATATCTCGACTGTATCCCCCAAGGATAACGGAAGAATAAACCCTTTTTGATACAACTTATTGAATGGCCTACACTCTTCAAGAATATTTGACTTTTCGAACACAAAAATAAAAATTCACATCTTATAAGGTTTCAAGGCCATCATAATTTTAACAATAATCGAGGAATAATTCCCCTAAGAGGCAAAGCGAGCCAGCAGAGTATATGTATAAGTGTTTGCTTCGGATTTTAGTACATATTATCACCAAATTGAGCCGTCTCGATTAGATCTCTCTCCCTCTCTCTCTCTCTCTCTCTCTCTCTCTCTCTCTCTCTCTCTCTCTCTCTCTCTCTCTCCCTCTCTCTCCCTCTCTCTCTTTCTTTCTCTCTCACCCAACATTGCAAATATAATGCCCCAAAAAAGAAACTTAACAAAACAAAAAACAACAAGTAAGAAGTTCTAGTCGGGAGCTCCCGACTAGGGGATACCCTGAACCCTCTTATTCCAACACCAAATAAATTAATAAAAAAAAGTTCCCTTGGCAGGGCTCGAATTTGCAACTGAACGCATTACTTACTGTCGACTCTACTCAACAGCCACACCAGCAAAAAAAAAAAAATAATAATACTTTCCCCGGTAGGGCTTGAACTCGCGACAGACCTCACCACTTGCTATGCCTCTACTCAGCAGCCACACCAACAATTAAGTACTTATGATAAAAAAAGGAACTAAAATAACATTACAAAAAAAAGATGCAATTACCATGCTATTAGAATGCGAAGCAGACGCGCATGAATGTGTGTGTGTACATGTATACAGAAATTCTTAAAGCTGCTGCCTCATTCAATTGCGCAGTTGCATATAACTTTGGGTTTTCTTAACCGATCTTTATGAAATTTTCTACAGTATATCTTATTGTACCATAGAATATTTGTGTATTCTGAAACAATCAATTGCATTTAAATTGTGGTTTAAATTGGTTGGCAATAAAAGTTGGGTTATTAACTTGATTTATAGCTCTGGCGTGGTAGCGGGGAGGTGGCGATAGGTTTGAAGTGAAAGATACTTGAAATATCTATAATATTCTACAAGCAACATATCATGTTTGGTGGCTCTAGCTCTTATTATTTACCCAATTTGCTAAAAAAAACAGGATGTCGATATCGATTTTTATCGATTGCTTGAAAACGGAGTAAGTTATCGACTATCGGAAACAAACTCGATCTGCGCGGGAACTAGGAGCATCTACATCTAATTTCAAGTCTCTAGCTCTTATAGGTTCTGAGATCCTTTGGCTCATACATACGGACGGACGAAAGGACGGACGGACGGACAGACAGAAGGACATGGCTAGATCGACTCGGCTATTGATGCTGATCAAGAATATATATACTTTATGGGGTCGGGTCTTCCTGTTACATACATTTGGATTTTGCACAAAACTATTCCGGCCAGATCACAAATATCAATGAATTTCTTTACTCACATTTAGTTTAAAAGAAGAAGATGCGAAGAATATTTTTTCAAACTGATTTCCATATCGTTTTTTGTTTACTTCTAGGGGCAAGCCACATAATAATAAATACCAAACAATATTTGTAAGTATATAGTAAAATAGAAAATCCGCCTGTACATTGTCTGATCTTATTCATTTTGGTGTACACCCGCTGAAAGTTGCCTCAAGAATGTATTATAAAACAAATTAACATATTTCACACATTTCAGGAAAAAAATCTGATTCGTCACCTTCACAATGCCCCATGTAATTTCTACAAGCATTTAAAGGGCCCAGCCAGGAATTTCGCTTTGAAGAAATGCTTTTTTGTCGGCCGGGGGTGAGGGTGTGGGCGAGGGGTAGGGTGAAGGTGAGGGTGTGCGCCCGTTGATGCGTGTGACTTCAAAAATCCCAAAAACGTGTCGGGCAGCATGTTGAAATTGACGTACTCCTCTCCCGTGCAGACTCTACCCATAGAGAATGGGTATTGCGAGTGCTTCACAAACTAAGACGGGCACGGAGTTGGGGTGTTGCGGGTTGCGGGTTGCGAATTGTGCGAGTTGTGCGGTGTGCATGCTTGCGCAATCATCATTTCGGGGTGGAAACTGTGGACTGTGATAGGCACAATTTTAAGTTCTTGGCGCGTTTGATTGCTTGTAGTGTTCTGCAACTGATGTCTTTATTTTACTTGAATTTATCAACCATTCGAAAATGTTTTAGAATATTTTTTTTTCCGTTTCAATTATTGTTTATAATCCATCTTGCGATAATAAATAAATTGACTATTTTAAATTTTTGGCCTGTTTGATTGCTTACATGAAAATATCAACCATTCGAAAATGATTTATAATTTTAACATTTTTTCCAGTCCTAATTTTTCTTTACAATCTATCTTGCGATATTTAGTTAATTATATGTTATTAATAATTGGCCCATTTATTTGTTTGCCGTTTTCTGCAACTGATGTCTTTATATTACTTAAAAAAATATCAACCATTCGAAAATGTTTTATAATTGACTATATTATAAATTATGCACATAGTCTATGTTCTAGCTTTTCTATCTATTTGTCTATCTGTCTCTAAATATACGAATGTATATATAAAGACACAAAAGTTGTCTACTTAATACTATTGCATGCATATGGTAGATATACTTCAGTTCAACTTAAGCCTAATCAAAATGTTTTTAATAATAATTTGCGGACTATACACAATATATTTAAGACTACATTTCAGCAATTCGACCAAGTTTTCACAAGATAGCTATAAAAATATATCATATTATGATTATCATATAGCTCTAGATACATATATAGACCGTAAAATTATATTATATCAAAATATTTAATTTTTTGTGAAAGCCAATATTTGTAACTATATTGACTTTGTTTCGTTTACTTTCGAGAATATGCAATTATCAGGGAATAATTCTACTGATATGTTATACACTTAATTAATTAATTTAATTCTTTAATTTATGATATTGATAGACCTAGATAGCGTGTTTAATTGCTTCATGTGCACCTTTGTAATTTATTCATCGAATACTTTCTTATTTTCAAAGAAATTATTTTTGCCATATATATAAATATTCATATTTGAAAAAAAAAAATCTTTGGTTCATTTCATTTCCACCGAGGAGGGATATCTTTTTCAAATGAATTTGAACAAAGATCTTAGATATCTGTCACATAAGGTAACGACGTTCCGGTTCTCTTGCTCTTCTGGTCCAATCTTTCGGTATTGATTCATCGGTGAAAAAGTGTGAAAAATATTGTGTTATTGGCCTTAAACATATTTTCAAAGGCTAACACAAGAACTTGACGAACATGTATTTTTCGCAATTTTGAAACTTCCACCTGTAACTCTGGTTAAGGGTTAACTGATTCTACGGCTTCAAAATCCTTTTCTAAAATCGCTGTCAAAATTTATTTGATAATGCGGATCAAATGTTGAATGAACGAAGTTTAGTTGTATGCTCATTCGCAAGGATCTTTAAGAATATCAATTTGAGTCGCGTTTTTCGGAAAATCCTCGGCGGAAAATCCCGATCAAACATTTATTGGGCAATGTTTTAATCCAATTCGCTTCCAACTTCTATTCAAAACCAATTTATTGAATATGTTTTTCAGCAATTTTGAATTCTACCCGCAACAGTGGAAAATGGTGAATGAAAATGAAGTAAAAAGGGAAAAATGGGAAAAACGAAAGTTTAATTTTCTACTCAAATATTTTCACCATAAGATAACACAAAAAGTAAAAAAGTAATAACTAAAATTTTAAGAACAAAATTTGCCACGGGCAAGGCCGGGTAATTCCCGCTGGTATATATATATACATATATAACAGACTGTATGTACAAACATACATACATATAATGAATCCCTTATACGCATACAAATATAACCGTACCAGTGGAACCCTCCACCGTGCAGAATTTGCATTCGTTGCCTTAAATTGTATGTGTGTATGTTATACTGTATGTGTACATGTGTGTGTTTACACATGTATGCTTTCTATTTTCCAACAGTCTTATAAAACGTTGCTCGCGGTTTTTATTTTGTAAATGGCTGCAAGACCTGGGATGATTCTGTATCCTGTTTTACCAAAGCAGCGCACGCAAAACACTAGTGCCATCCCGCTCTCGCCCCATTCGCGACACTATCGCCATTTCGTGCGACGACAGCAGCAGCGAACGGGCAACCATCCCACTCGCACTTGTGCAGAGACTTACGCAAAATGGCCGCGATACGGCATTCGCTGTTGCCTTTCAATATGCTAGCTAGCCTGTCTGGGCAGGTTTGGTCTTTCGCTTGAGAGCTCATTATCGTTTCGCTTGGCTAACCAGTTAGTCATACACAACTTTGTTCAGGGCACACACCAACACCGCCGCCGCAGTTTGATTATTTTGCTATTTGAAGCAAACAAATTGTTAGAGAAGTGACGGGCTCGCAATCCGTGGCGTTGCCGCCGGGTCGCTGGTCGCTGGTCGCTGGCCGCCTATGGCAGATCGGCACCGATGTGTTATACTCCTTGAATGTAGGAGCTGCCTACCACACATATGCTAAACAAAATCGCAGCCAAAAACCGCAATCGCAATCGAAATCGAAGTTAAAGTTAATTCAAAAAAAAAGAGCGTATACGAATTGGAGACAATAAGTACAAAAAATTGGAATTAATAATAATCTACGATAATAGCATAACAAAATTCCATAACAACCCCGCCGAAATCTGATGATGCCTCCAACTCAGAAACACAATTGTAACGTAGTGTAATCTAGATATAAAGTGGAACAAGAAAATACATCAACATGCACCAGTACAAAAATCCAACAACGAAATAAACAACAAAACATAGTTAATTCACGAGTTTATGACAGTGAATAAATAACATAAAAATAGTCAATTGTTCAGTGCTTTCTTGGTTTTATTTATCCAATGAGAATACGGTATAAGTGCGCTATAATCGGAGCAGCCAAAATCTGAATACGCTTTGACAATAATCATTACGATAATTATACAAAATGATGCTAACAACGGAACACATTATGCACGGACATCCCCATTCGTCCGTCGGCGTGGGGGTGGGCCAAAGTGCACTGTTCGGCTGTTCGACAGCGGGACACAGCGGAATTAACCAGCTAGGAGGCGTCTATGTGAACGGCAGACCCCTGCCCGATTCCACACGCCAGAAGATTGTCGAGCTGGCACATTCCGGCGCTCGGCCATGTGATATTTCTCGAATACTTCAAGTTTCCAATGGCTGCGTTAGCAAAATCTTGGGCAGGTGAGACAAATGCCATTTGAGAAAGACAGAGAGAGAAAGAGAGAAAGAGAGAGAGATGCTAGAGAATGGCTGCTGTATTTATTATTTTTAATTAACTTTGTAAATTATTGTAATCAAACTTTCAACTCTCAAACTCTAAAACCTTTCGTCTGGCCAAAAAATCATAACAATTTATTTCTTCGGAGAGGTAGATGGACTCACAAAACCAAATTTCAAAGATATAATACAGAAAGATATATATACATACATATATATATATATATATATTTTTATATAACAGTAAGATGTGTATATATATGTATTGTCTACACAGTAAAATGTTTCACAAAAGCCAATTTAAATATTATATTAAATGCTATATGTCTTTTTAAACCCTGAACCCATTAAAAATGGGTACAAGGGTATATTGTATTTGTGCAAAATCCAAATGTATGTAACAGGCAGAAGGAAGCATCTCCGACCCCATAAAGTATATATATTCTTGATCAGCATCAATAGCCGAATCGATCTAGCCATGTCCGTCTGTCTGTCCGTCCGTCCGTCCGTCCGTCCGTCCGTCCGTCCGTCCGTCCGTCCGTCCGTCCGACGGTATGTATGAACGCAAGGATCTCAGAACCTATAAGAGCTAGAGACTTGAAATTTTAGATGTAGGTGCTCCTAGTTCCCGCGCAGATCGAGTTTGTTTCCGATAATCGACAACCTACTCCGTTTCCAAGCAATCGATATCGATATCCAGTTTTTTGGGAAATTTTGATAAATAATAAGAGCTAGAGTCGCCAAACTTGAGATATAGCTTCTAAAATAGAATATATATATGCATTTGATGTTGAAAGAAGAGGGTTCAGGGTATCCCCTAGTCGGGAGCTCCCGAGTAGGACCTCTTACTTGTTTTAAATTTATTTGGTGTTGGAATAAGAGGGTTCAGGGTATCCCCTAGTCGGGAGCTCCCGACTAGAACCTCTTACTTGTTTGTTTTTGGTTTTAATCATAGATAGCTCTGTTTCTACGAAATCAATATAAATAGGACTTTTTATCATATTTAGCAGCTTTTAAGAGAAACAGACGCCTCATATTGGATGTATGTTCTCGGAGGTATCAAGGCTATACCACAAATATTATAAAGAATATTTTTATACCCTGAATCTATTAAAAATGGGTATATGGGTATATTGTATTTGTGCAAAATCCAAATGTATGTAACAGGCAGAACTAAGCATCTCCGACCCCATAAAGTATATATATTCTTGATCAGCATCAATAGCCGATTCGATCTAGCCATGTCCGTCTGTCTGTCAGTCCGTCTCTCCGTCTGCGCAGATCGAGTTTGTTTCCGATAATCGACAACCTACTCCGTTTCCAAGCAATCGATATCGATATCCAGTTTTTTGGGCAATTTTGATAAATAATAAGAGCTAGAGTCGCCAAACTTAACATATAGCTTCTAAAATAGAATATATATATGCATTTGATGTTGGAAGAAGAGGGTTCAGGGTATCCCCTAGCGGGGGCTCCCGACTAGAACCTCTTACTTGTTTTTTTTGCTGGTGTGGCTGTTGAGTAGAGTCGACAGCAAGTAATGCGGTCAGTTGCGAGTTCAAGCCCAGCCAAGGGAACTTTTTTCATACCCTGAACCCATTAAGAATGGGTACAAGGGTACATTGTATTTGTGCGAAAGCCAAATGTATGTAACAGGCAGAAGGAAGCATCTCCGACCCCATAAAGTATATATATTCTTGATCAGCACCAATAGCTGAGTCTATCTAGCCATATCCGTCTGTCTGTCCGTTCGTCCTTATGTATGAACGCAAGGATCTCAGAACCTATAAGCGCTAGAGACTGAAATTTTAGATTTAGCTGCTCCTAGTTCCCGCGCAGATCGAGTTTCTTTCTGATAATCGATAACTTACTCCGTTTCCAAGCAATCGATAAAAATATATATCGATATCCTGTTTTTTGGGCAATTTTGGTAAATAATAAGAGCTAGTGTCACGAAACTTGACATATAGCTTCCAAAATAGAATATATATATATATATATATATATATATATATATATATATATATATATATGATATTGGAAGAACAGGGTTCAGGGTATCTCCTAGTCGGGAGCTCCCGACTAGAACCTCTTAAAATGTTCTATTAGTAATGGATATATGTGGAAATATGTTAAAAGACAGCTATAGTTGACAAGGACTTCGAACTGAGTCTGTCTACAAAAGATGAGACAATAATATTAGCATACCATACCATATATAGATCAAGTTCATATTACTTCCATTCCACAAATTCTTTCAGGGCTTTAAGAATAAACACACTTTTTATTCATGAAGGAATTTATGAATGTATGGGTAAAATGGTTTCCATATTTTATCACGACAAAATACTACTCTGTAGCATTTTCTAGCACTCTCACGTTTTTCTACGCATATTATTTCTACCAATTTATGATTTATATTTCTACTTTTAGATATTATGAAACTGGATCGATAAAACCCCGAGCGATAGGTGGTTCAAAGCCGCGAGTGGCTACGACGCCCGTCGTCCAAAAAATTGCCGATTACAAAAGAGAATGTCCGAGCATATTTGCGTGGGAAATTCGGGATCGGCTGCTATCGGAGCAAGTATGCAATAGTGATAATATTCCAAGCGTAAGTGTTATTTAAGTGTTATATACCAAAATCCCCCATACTACATTGAACCCCGTTTCCACTGAGAAGCTCTTGTTGCGCAGATAGCGAAGAATGTCTCAAAAGCCACGTTTGAGTCGATTGGATGATCAAATAAATTATACAGAACTCTTTTAAATACGTTTCAAAAAATATTTCAAAAATCTTTAAAAATGTGTTTAATAACTATACCCGGGCAACAAACAAAAGGCTTATACCCTTGCCTTTTGTTTTTTGCCAGACAGTCCTTGTCCGTCTGGCCGTCTGTTGAAAACTTTGATCTATAAGAACTTGAGACTTGAAAGACTATAAATTTAAAGTTTATATCCTATACTACTGCTTCTATACTCCTATACAAAACGTGTATACATTTTTTTTGATAGATATCTCTTGCCATTTTCAAAATATCAATAAAGCTATATTTACAATAACTATCTTATGCTTAACTCATAAATTGTATATAATTATACTATAACTATTTGGAATAGAAATATTTTTTTATTTCTATCTCTTGTATTTTGGATATTTAAATGCTATATTTATGCCCCACCCAATTTTATTCAGATCGCAAAACAAACATAGATTGGTATTTAACATTAAATTTCCAATACCGTGGGAGAAGGGGGAAGGGAAAGGAAGCAGCGAAGAAGAATTCGATTATAAATCAACATTAAGATTTTTGACTAAAGCTACAGGGTATTTTTTAGTCAAGTACCTTAGCTTTGGACCGCCATTCAGTCAGGACACAATGTTTTCTTATCTAGCGAAGTATGAATATGGATACAATTAAAATTTGAATGAGAACCAAGAAATCCGTTAACTGTTAAGATATATTCAAAACAGAGCTCCGAATTGAACAGTTCGAATCTTAATTTGCGTGACCAACATGTTCAAACTTCCGAAATGCATTTCAAAGCGAATCAAAAATTGTTTAATAATGGTATTCTACTTCAAGCCCAAGCTAATGCATATAAGCACTATTGAATTAGTATTTAGATAAACTAAGTTTTTCTTTCCTTTTCTCCAATCTCTTATTAACCTTTTGACGCGTATTGAATGCGTACAGGATACAAAGTAACAGTTGAAAATCTTTTGAAAAACGCACTGATTTCATGAAGCATGGAGGGTTGATGTTGTGCGTTGCATACACAGACAAAAAGGAGGAAGAGAGCCGGGCTCGAGACCACAGCATACCATCAAGATTGTCGTAAAGTAGAGCCGAGCGCAAGGCGGCTGCAGAGGATGAGCCAGCATTCAGAATGGATTAAGTAATTTCAAAACAATACCTTCGCAATGTTTTTCAAATGGATTAAGATTTAGATACTGCTCATCCGAAAAAAGATACTCTCATTATTCGATCAGGTAAACAAATGGATCTAGTTCACCTAATTCCATTTGTTGTACTCAATGGAAATTCGGTGGTTGGCGGTTCTCTCTGAGCATTAAAAAAATCTGAAGCCGCAGATTAAAGTCCAAGCAATGGTGTTCAGCAAGTATATATCTATCTATAGAAGCTTCCATATTAGTTGGGCAAACTGGAAAATTTGCAAAGAATTCATTTAACAGAGTCCCAAGTTGATTGATGCACGTTCGATTGTTTTGAAAGCATGATTTTGAAAATGATCTTTAAACAATAAATAGGATAAAAAATGATTATTAACCTGACGATGCACTCGACCTATAAGAACTTTCCTATGGATCATATACAGTAAAAATCCCATATATATTATGTATTTTTATACCCTGAACCCATTAAATATGGGTATAAGTATATATTGTATTTGTGCAAAATCCAAATGTATGTAACAGGCAGAAGGAAGCATCTCCGTCCCCATAAAGTATATATTCTTGATCAGCATCAATAGCCGAGTCTATCTAGCCATTCCGTCTGTCTGTCCGTCCGTCCGGGGTTCAATGGACCGACAAGTCGACTCGAAGGCACATTGTGCCCCACATATAATTATTAGTGACCTCCTTGTGGTGACCCTGGGTGATTGTCCGAGGTATATTCGGACAACCAGCTAATTCGAGCGGCGAAAACATTAAGTCGACGCATTCTTAGGCCGGTGGAGGCCAAACTGGGTAGTATACATCTTCGGCAGTAAATTTGGTACAACGGGTAGCCAGGAGCCCACGGAACTTGTTCCGTCCTGACTGTTTAATTGCGGCCCTTCGGGGAGTATAGTGGTGGCTGTGGCTTATACCCAAAACGCGGGTAGAGCTTGCTTTTTATGAGGTTTTAGACCGGCCTCACCTCCCACCAATGAGGGAATGTATTGCCTCCGCCCGGCATTCATTCAATTGGTACCGAAGGGACACTGTTCAAGCAGGGACAGTGTCCTGGAGGGGCGATAGTCCGACGCATCGTTTCGGCTCGTTGTTTTTTCGAATGCCGTGAGATTAAGCCACGTTAAGCCCACTGACTTTTCTGTCCGTCCGTCCGTATGTATGAACGCAAGGATCTCCGAACCTATAAGAGCTAGAGACTTGACTTTTAGATGTCGGTGCTCCTAGTGCCTGCGCAGATCGAGTTTGTTTTCGATAATCGATATCGTACTCCGTTTCCAAGCAATCGATAAAAATCGATATCGATATCCTGTTTTTTGGGCGATTTTGGTAAATAATAAGAGCTAGAGTCACCAAACTTGACATATAGCTTCTAAAATAGAATATATATATGCATTTGATGTTGGAAGAGGAAGTCGGGAGCTCCCGACTAGAACCTCTTACTTGTTTTTATTTATTTTTTTTTTTAGCTTTGGTTGACAATATTGAGCCTTCAATTTTTACGCACCGACAATTTCATTTTTAATTTCAAACTTCGCCTACATAGATATATTTTTTTAACAAGCAACAAACTTATTTTCTATCATATAGCTTCAATAGAAACAATCGGTCGTAAATGAAACTTTTGCATAAAAGAATTATTAAACAAGTAAGAGTTTCTAGTCGGGAGCTCCCGACTAGGGGAATACCCTGAACCCTCTTCTTCCAACATCAAATGTTTTCAAAACGGAGTAAGTTATCGATTATCGTAAACAAACTCCATCTGCGCGGGAACTAGGAGCATCTACATCTAAAATTTCAAGTCTCTAGCTCTTATAGGTTCTGAGATCCTTGCGTTCATACATACGGACGGACGGACGGACAGACAGACAGACAGACGTGGCTATATCGACTCGGCTATTGATGCTGATCAAGAATATATATACTTTATGGGGTCGGGTCTCCCTGTTACATACATTTGGATTTTGCACAAATACAATATACCCTTATACCCATTTTTAATGGATTCAGGGTATAAATACTAGCGGATATAGCCCGGCGGTGCCCGTGGCACGTATAAAATAAATGTTCTCTAAAAGCTTTGAAAATGATTTTGAAACTGATCGAACGGTAAACAAACAACTTCATACAAACGTTTTCCGCCAATTTACCACTGTTGCGGGTGGAATTTTCCAAATCGCTGAAACACGTATTCATTAAGTTCTTATGTAGAGCTTTGAAAATAAGTTTGAGATAAATCGGATAAAACTTAAAACTTTGCCCAAAAAATCTTTTAATCGCACATCTACCGAAGGATTTCAGATTTTGCGGAAAATGTGAAACACGTCTCAAATGATGTGCCATATAGATCATTGAAAATAAATTTGAGGGCGAAACGTCATCCACCAAATCTTTAACCCCCATTTCCACCAAGGAGGAATACATTTTTCGAAAAGTGTGGAACACCCCTCAAATGAACTTGAGCAAACAACTTTGAAATTGAGTTTGAGGCCGATCGGATGTTAAAGAAAAAAGTTTCATACAAACGTTTTTCGCGATTTTTCCACACTTGCGGGTGCAATTTCTCGAAACCCCGTCTTAACCTGCACTTTCATCACATAAAGTAACTACAGTGAAAATTTCAGCCTCCTAGCTCTTACGGCTTGGGCTGTGCATTGATCACCCATCAGCCAGTCAGTCAGTCAGGACAAACAGTTTTATATATAGAGATGAATATTAATTAGTTGTTTATTTGCCCTAGAAAATAATTATGAGACCTGTAGTCTAGTGCGCTCAACTACAAACAAGCAAGAGGTTCTAGTCGGGAGCTCCCAAGCTTCTTCCAACATCAAATGCATATATATATTCTATTTTAGAAGCTATATGTCAAGTTTGGTGACTCTAGCTCTTATTATTTACCAAAATTGCCCAAAAAACAGTTATTGATTATCGGAAACAAACTCGATCTGCGCAGGCACTAGGAGCACCTACATCTAAAGTCAAGTCTCTAGCTCTTATAGGTTCTGAGATCCTTGCGTTCATACATACGGACAGACGGACAGACAGACAGACGGACATGGCTAGATCAACTCGACTGTTGATGCCGATCAAGAATATATATACTTCATGGGGTCCTTCTATGCCATACATTATTATAATACTCCTTTACAACGCTATCAAATTAGGCCGACACATATAGGTGTATAAAAATCTGCCCTACATTTCGTTGAAAACCGGAAAAAACTAGCATTTGTTACAAACAGATCCATGGCATCATTGCCTAAGTAAAGTACCAGTTCTGATTCAGGAAAACCAATAGCTCGGATAATTTATATAGTCTTCGATTATTATTATAGTATCTTAAGATACACCCGTTTTTTTTCACCCGCCTTAAACTTTACAGAAGCAAGTTTGATTTCAAGGCAATCAATGAAATTAAGCAATCACTAATACCTATAAATCTATGTGCATATAATATATAAATATAAAATAAATAAACTGGTTTGTCCTGACTGACTGACTGACTGACTGACGGACTGACGGACTCGCAGAACAGCCGTCGGAGCTGGGAAGTTGTTTCTTTTTGGCTCGAAAGTAAGCACTAAAATGGGGCTTTCGGAGATAAGTACTAAAAAAAACCATTAAAAACAACGGAAACCCAAAGTTGATTTTTGTAAACGTAACGTCATGATATTGCGACAAGCGAAAGTTCGTTATTTAACATTGTAATTTAATATGTGTTTATTTAATTTATTATTATTAACAAGGAAAAAAGCAATCGACGCTTTGAGAGAGACTTTGTATCTGTCTGAAGCAAACTGTTTTGACATAGTTGGATACTCACAATTATTTATTTGATACAGTAATATATTCAAGTTGTGCTTAAAATATATACAATGAACAGTTTACTCAGAGACTGTGTCGGACAATGCCCAAGAACAATATGCTACCTTTCACTTTATGAGCACACAGCTTCAACTTTCTCTTTTATACCCTTGCTGGAGGGTATTATAATTTTGTCATGAAATGTGTAACGCTTAGAAGAAGACATTTTCGAACTCTGCAAGCTAGTCTCGCAGTTTAAAAGCTATCTTTATGAAACTCTGCAGAAGTTCATCTTTCTGTTGCACGCAGTACATATGTCAGAACCAGCTGGATCGAACCACTATATCATATAGCTGCCATAGGAACGATAGGTCGAAAATTAAGTTATTGTATGACTAACATTTTTGTTTATAAAGATAACTTGACCAAACTTGGCATTTATTAAGTATATACATTCTTGATAAGTATAAAGTATATATATTTTTGATCAGTATCAGCAACCGAGTCGATATAGCCATGTCCGTCTGCCCGTCTTACTGTTCCTATGCGAAACAGTCTCTCAGTTTCAAAGCTATCTTTATGAACCAGAAGTCCTTTGCAGAATCCCTCTTTCTTTTGCAGTACTTGTAATTTGTCACAGCATTCAAATCTTTAATTCATCTGTACCTATTTTCGGACTCTCATAAATATGTATAATTGGATATGCAAATATGTATTCTAGTATTCATGGGTAAATTGAGGGTGGCTTCGAAATTGAATTTACAGTTTGCATTTATTCCATCCCCACCCCTGCCTCTCTTAGTCAAAGGGTAGATTTTCTATACCATATTTGGTATGTGCGTGTCTTACATATGTATGTACAAATGTAATCGCCTACTATTTTACATAGACACAATTATTTGCATATATGTACATAACGAGAAAGAATGGCTATTTAATACCCTTGCAGACCCAACCTTTTCATAATGCGCATAGTGCTTTGCCCGTATCTGAGAAGCACAGGGAAAATGGTTAATGCCGATTATGTTTAAAATATCTTGATATTGCTTATAAATGACGACTTTTGTCAATATTTTAATGCCATCTATAAAAATTAAAACAAGTAAGAAGTTCTAGTCGGGAGCTCCCGTATGTATGAGCGCAAGGAGTCTGTTTCCGATAATCGCCAACTTACTCCGCTTCCAAGCAACCGATAAAAATCGATATCGACATTCTGTTGCTAGAGTCACCAAACTTGACATATAGCTTTTAAAATAGAATATATATATGCATTTGATGTTCGAAGAAGAGGGTTCAGGGTATCCCTTAGTCGGGAGCTCCCGACTAGATCCTCTTACTTGTTACCCATTTTCAATGGGTTCGGGATATAATTAGAACCTGAAGATCGGACAACAAACACCGAAGAAAACATATTCAATTAAATTAAATTCAATTAATTGAATTAAATGATTTATTAATTACATACAGTTATAAGCATTTGTGAGTTCATTTTGAGGCACGAAAAAGTAGTTTGAGGCACGATAAAATCACGGCTCGCGCCCAGCTCCAGTCTTTACGTGGAGGAGGTCTTACGTTATTGAAGAACGAGTATTTGAAAATGTTCTTTGACGCTGTTTGCATCCATTAATACGAACATGAAAAACAGCACTTTAGGCCTTAAGTGTTGGCACGTGTCCGGCGAATTGGAGTTGGCATTTCTTTGCATTCGCGTGCTCGTGCTCGTTCTTGTGTCCGTGCTCGTGTCCGTGCTCGTCGTTGACGTTGGTTCTACTGTTACGATTATAATGAATTGCGGGCCGTTTTGTATTGCCACATAATGACATCAAAGGACATCAAAGGTTTTCAGTGCCAATCCTAGATGCGAGTCTCTTATTCGTTCAATGCAAGGAATATGTATTAGGAATAATATTAGGAATATAATACTTATTATGCACAATAGAAATTATTTGTAAAATATTTGTTGACTTTTTCACCTTAATATAATGAAGGAATGTAAGAACCCCTCTTATACTTCATCATCATTCAATTATTATATATATTGCATTTGCGTTAATTGCAGTATTTAACAAGTTCTTAAATAAAACAAAAGAGCAAGCCCCGTGATCAGTCGAGAGTAAACGAATTGGAGATACCCTGTAGATATATAGATATATACATATTAAGGACAAATAGGCACACAAAAACATCCCCTGCTGTTCGGGGTTGTGGCACGGCTAACCTAGTCAGGGACTGGTCCGTCGGCAAATGCCCTGCAATGGGTTTTCCATGAAGGGTTGACATTGGACGCTGCCAAAAAAGACGCACTATTTCCACTATTTTAATCGACTTCATTGACATTTTGAGGTGCATGTGTTGAAAGATGCTTTTTATATCCAGTTGGAATTTAGGAAAAGAAGTCTGCCTTGTGGCTTCCTCCAGGGATTGTAGCTGGTATACATTTATTATCTGCACCCGGCCAGTGACAGTAAATTCTCCAATGTTGCCATTCCTTTCGCCCTCTTACTGCATCTGCATCTGAGTTTCGAGGCATGCCCAGCTTTTAGGCCAGTCTTTTCTTTAAGACGTTTAGTATCCTTTCGACTAGCATCTCTTTTTTACTATATGAAGAGGCAGCCAGTTGTCCTGTTTGTCCCTTTTTTGAATTTGGTAAGTTTTTTGTGCACTTTGTCTGCGATTTTCTATAATGGTTCGCTATTCCGGTTTGTGGTGTGGATTGCTGTGCTTCACGCTGAAGTATCGCAATCTGATTCTTCACGGCTTTTTCATTACCTTTGATATCATCGATGTGAAGAGCGCCTTTTTGAGTGCAATCCAATCCCCACTCGACAGTCCATGTAGAAGGAAACCTAACGAGTATTAACTACCATATTCCTCTCCCATACCTCCCTAGACAGAAAGTGGGATTGCTATATTTCCATTCGGATCACAGATCTTGGATACCTTGTTGTCTCTCTGTTCCTGTTTTTTCTATCTTATTGTTGGGCTGTAAAGATATTGTTTTGCCTATTTATTTCCAGACGCAGCCTGCTCTGTATCTAAGGTCGATTGGGTGTAAGAACAGAAGTAATTTTAAAGCTAATCTCAGAAAATGATACCAGAACTCCTGAAGTTACTTTTCGTTCGATTCTTTCTGTAGAACTATATGATACATTAATCTGGCAAATTCAAAGGAATAATCAATGTCGAATATTTTGATACATCGAGGCATCCATTTGTTCTTGTGGTGATTCTTCTATCCGATTTAAAAAATGTATCTTCATTTCGGGCTCATCTCTTGCTGTGGGTGAAGCAATAAAATGAGTCGAATCGAGTTTTCTTGGTTATTATGCTGATGATAAATAGAGTATGAGATTAGTTGAGAATTGTCTTGTCTTGTATGTGTATCTGAGTCTTCTGTATGTATTTACATAGTTAGATTCAGATGAATGTTTAGACTAGAGATTGGCGCGGCAAAGAATATTCGATTCAGTCTCGCACGACCCGAAATCGAGTTTATCTCAGCCGGACGTTTTTCATAATATATCAAGATCCCACAATAAGTTATGCGATCAAAGACGAAAAATTCCGAAATTTGTAGGAATACAATAATTAGTAGATGCGGGGGACTCGCGGGACTCCCTAAAGGATTCGCGGTCCGATGCCATCTCTAATTAGACATGGTAACTGCTAGTCAGGAACTCCTGATTGGACCACTCCTGTTAAAAGCAATCCCTTTAATGCAAATACACTCACAAACATATTTTTATCTAAGCGTGTTCTTAATTATGTTTATGCAGACTTGAATTCACATAAATATATATATATATATATATTTAGGTATGTATATGTAGGTATATGTGTACCATGCATGCTATTATGGCCAAGTTGACAACTGTGTGTAAGGATGTAAGCCTTATTTGTAAAAGTGCTTTAACATGCGTGTGTACGCTAAAATGAAATGCTCGACAGAGTCGAGTATTGCTGTCCTGCTCTTGGACAGCAGCTCGTGATTGGCTGTAACTCATAGCCAATGGCAGCATCTTGCACTGCATTAGTATTTGGGGGTAGAAATAGCGGCATGCCTCTGCAAACACACACACAAAAACACTCGCACTCGCATACACATACTCGCGCACTGCTTTATTCAGCATACTTGAATTTATAATTTGAGGAAATATGCACTGCTTTATTCTTTCGCTTTAATTGCAGGTTTCATCTATTAATCGGGTGCTGCGCAATTTAGCGTCGCAGAAGGAGCAGCAGGCGCAGCAGCAGAACGAGTCCGTGTATGAGAAGTTGCGAATGTTTAATGGACAATCCGGCGGATGGGCCTGGTACCCGGGCAATACGACGACGGCGCACTTGGCACTGCCGCCCACGCCCACGGCAGTGCCAACGAATTTATCTGGCCAGATAAACCGAGATGAGGTGCAAAAGCGCGGTAAGTTAGCCAAAATTTAAATTCTCATTTCTTTTTTGCCTTTGTTTCAATATGTACAAAATGAAAAACTCCATTGAATATTCTTAACAGAAACAAAAAACTAATTAAGAAGATTAATTACTTCAATATTTTAACAGCCACATATTAAATAGGATTGTTTTTGTAGCCTAAGCCCATCGAAATTGGGTAACAAGTAAGAGGTTCTTGTCGGGAGCTCCCGACTAAGGGATACCCTGAACTCTCTTCTTCCAACATCAAATGAATATATACATATATTCTATTTTAGAAGCTATATGTCAAGTTTGGTGACTCTAGCTCTTATTATTTACCAAAATTGCCCAATAAAACAGGATTTAAATTGTTTACATCCTATGCTGTACCATTAATTTTAGATACTTACGACGCAACAAATCAAAAGTGAACTTAAAATGCCACTATTTTTGTTGTTCATGAACAAAAAAACATCTCAACCGACTGGATAGCTGACCGAATTAGTTCACTAATCACTGAATAAGTTCAGTAGTTCATTTTAATGACCCGTTCAATTGGACTTGGTCCGAACTGAACGACACAACTCTAGTGAACAGGTTTTATATACTTTCGTTTAAAACAGGGAATTTCAGAAGATAAGAACTTCGTTCTGAGTGTTATGCTTGTACTTAATTTGATTTTTTTTCTTATATGATATGATGATATAATATCTTAAGAATATTTTGGATAAATTTCGTAATTATACCTATGGCCATTAATTGTTAAGTTTGGTCGTTATTTCAATTGAGACCAACATCTAGTCAACTTATCTAAAGCAAAACGAGTGAAGATTTTAATCAAGCATCCCAAAATCATTTCGATACAATTTTGGAATTACTCTAAATGACGTACTATGAGGTGAAGGGGGGGTATTACTTGTCATCAGAGGAGAGAAAGAAAGAAAAACAACCCCTAGGGAAAAACATTTGGTCACAGATGATCAAACATCGGGGCAACAACAAACAGTTAATTCGTTGGTCATTTGTTATTTGCCATTAAATCTAATTGAGAAGCGTAATTTCGCCCATGTAGTCGGTTTGCCTGCCCTTCAATTGTTTATGTTTATTCTGCGATCAATAAATAAGGCTGACATATGTCCCATTGCCAATAAGTAGCAGCCCATCCACTCCCCTCCCCTGCCATCCTTTTACGGTTACAAAAATATGCTTCCATGTAAGAGGGAAATGTTTTTGTACTTGCGCGGCAAATGTTCTGTTCAAAGATAAGGAGAAGCAATCATGGAATTAATTTTGCAAATGCCACTGCACTAGCCATGGCTTAATCAGAGCCAAGTCAAATTACTGGGAACAGTTTGCATAAAGAATTCGATTTGGTTTTGGGTCTTAAGTCGAGGCTTTTAACCAATTTATTTGATGTCTGTGTCGCACTTTTCGCAAACTACACCTCTTTTCAAGGTTGAATAAGCGAAGATTTGGGTTCAAGTTTATTACAAACATCCTTAAATATTTCTTTTAGAGGTGTTTCACACTTGCCAGCAAGGCTCCTCCGTATAGATGCTGGATCAAAGTTTATTTGGGTGAATCTTTTAAGTTTAATAAAAACTTAACTTACTACATTTTTCATGCTGTGAAAATTTACCGAAGTATTTCACACTATTTTCTGACAATTTTCCACAATTCTTACACAACACCGTCTAAGTCTGCACTAACCTCACCCTCACCTCCCCTGAATAGTTCTGAATAGAAGAATAGCAGAATAGTTCAGATTTGTTGGCAATTAACAGCAAATTTCTCATTCTATCGAATTGCCATGAATTTTACGATGTTTACTATTTATTGTTTGGAACTACGAAATAACTAAACAATTATGTTGAATTTTTGTTTAATTTTCGTTTTAATTAATGCTTAATTTCTTAATTTCCTATCACATAGGCAATTTAGAATCTTCAAATAGATATAGGTGAAATTGTTTTTTTATACCCTGAACCTATTAAAAATGGGTATAAGGGTATATTGTATTTGTGCAAAATCCAAATGTATGTAAAAGGCAGAAGGAAGCATCTCCGACCCCATAAAGTATATATATTCTTGATCAGCACCAATAGCCGAGTCGATCTAGCCATGTCCGTCTTTCTTCCGTCCGTCCGTCCGTCCGTATGTATGAACGCTCCTAGCTCCCGCGCAGATCGAGTTTGTTTCCGATAGTCGATAACTTACTCCGTTTCCAAGCAATCGATAAAAATTGATATCGATATCCTGTTTTTTGGGCAATTTTGGTAAATTATAAGAGCAAGAGTCACCAAACTTGACATATAGCTTCTAAAATACAATATATATATGCATTTGATGTTGGAAGAAGAGGGTTCAGGGTATCTCCTAGTCGGGAGCTCCCGACTTGAACCTCTTACTTGTTAAGTGTAATTTTAGGATAAATGCCTGTTACATACATTTGGATTTTGCACAAATACAATATACCCTTATACCCATTTTTAATGGGTTCAGGGTATAAAAATTTATGTCATAAAATGTTGAATACTTTTGAGCGCTAAATTGCATGCAGATAAAGTAAAAAGAAATATTTGTCCACAAACTCAGATAGTGAAAAAGTCGTGTCATGGTGCAAAAGCACGGCTCATGCCCACCTCTAGCTGTAAACTTATTTTTTATTGAGATCACAAAATAACAATTTTCCAATTACTTTTAAAGCTGATTTCATATATGTCACTATAAATGCAAATATTATTACTTTAAACATGGCTAAAAATAGCTATTTTCACATGTCCAATTCTAATCCCATATTCCCTTTCAGACCTCTATCCAGGTGATCTGTCGCATCCCAATTCGCATGAGAGCACATCGGATGGCAATTCGGATCACAACTCTTCCGGGGACGAGGACTCGCAGATGCGTCTGAGACTGAAACGGAAACTGCAGCGAAATCGGACTTCATTCACAAACGAGCAAATCGACAGCTTGGAAAAAGGTTAATAATACAATAATAAATAGCAAAATTCTCGTTAACTTATAGACACACATTTAACTTTTACACCTGCCATATTTATGATAGAATTCGAACGGACGCATTACCCGGATGTCTTCGCACGGGAGAGGCTTGCAGAAAAAATTGGTTTGCCAGAGGCACGTATTCAGGTTTGTCTTTCCGTTTTGTTTAATTATTTTCGGTTTTAGATCTATTTTCTATAATTTTCACTATATTTTCTAATTTCTATTGCCCGACATGCCTTAGTTTCATATTTTGGTTCATTCGTTTGTGAGGCCACGCGAGCTTTGAATAGTGCTTGGCATCTAGAGAATTCCTTACTGGGGGGTTAAAGAAATCAATTTAAATAAATTTCCATTTTATTTGCACAATTTTTATACCCTTGCGGAGGGTATTATAATTTTGTCTTGAAATGTGTAACGCATAGAATGAGACATCTCCGACCCCATAAAGTATATGTATTCTTGATCAGCATCAACAGCCGAGTCGATAAAGCCATGTCCGTCTGTGTGTTTCTATGCGAATATTCTCTCAGTTTTAAAGCAATCTTAATGCAACTTTGCAGAAGTCCCTTTTTCTATTGCGCGCAGCACACATGTCAAAATCACCTGGATCGGACCACGATATCTTGTAGCTGTCATAGGAACGATCGGTCGAAAACCGGGTTTTTGATTAAAGGCTATTTTGGTTATCAAGATATCTTGTATTAGATCTTCGGCGTGCCGAAGATTGCCCTCCTTTCTCGTTTGTATTGCCTTACATGCCTTAGTTATATATTTTTCATTCATTTTCGGCATCTAGAGAAATAGAATTGAATAATACAAAAATCAATTTAAATAAATTTCTATTATTTTCAATATTGTTTTTTCTATCGCCTAACTCGCTTTAGTTTTATATTTTTTAAATAGGGCTGGGCATCTAAAAAAATAATGCTATACTGAATTCTTCACCGGGGGTTGGGGTTACAAAAATCAATCTAACTCTCGCATCCTTTTGGGGTTGGTGAATTTTGTAACCGATTGTTCGAAGTGATTGCCATGCCTTTTAGGCACGCGAGTCAGAATCGACGGAAGCCAAATGTCAACCCTCAACATGCGACGTGCACCCCCTTGTAATATTTGTTATTAATGCTTTTTTTTTATTAATACTTGTTTCGTTCGGCTTACGATTATTTGTATAAGTGAATAAAAACAGTTTGACTGTAAAAACACTTGAAACTACTTGTGATTTTCACATTGAGTCGAGCGTTGAAGTGTTTTGTCAAGCACACCAACAACTGATGGGTATTCGCGGCAAAATAATAATAAATGTCATCATGAAAATATGAAGGCACAACAAATATTGTAATCCCCAGATTCGCCCCTTTGTCAAGAGTAACAAACATAAATAAGCTCAGACAGAGAGCCAAAGGGTCTCTCGACTGATGTGATAAGCTTAGACTTCATTACACGTCTGAAATGGGTATGAGTATCAAACTCATACCCTCGCAAAAGGCGCATTATGATTTTGCCAACAGAAAGGCGACCTTCTGAAATGCAACCTAACCCGATTGGGTCTACCTTTATACATGAACTAGCGGGTACAGCCCGGCCTTGTCCGTGGCACATATAAATAAATGTTCTCAAAAAGCTTTGAAAATGATTTTGAAACTGATCGGACAGTAAACAAACAACTTTCATACAAACGTTTTCCACCAATTTCCCACTGTTGCGGGTGGAATTTCCCGAAACCGCGTCTCAACGTGCACCTTCATTACATAAGGTAACTACAGTGAAAATTTCAGCTTCCTAGCTCTTACGGTTTGGACTGTGCATTGATCACCAATCAGCCAATCAGTCAGTTAGGACAAACAGTTTTTTATAGAGAGATGATGTGTGTGATGTGTGTGTGATGATGTGTGTGATGTGTGTGCACTTCTAGTTCAATTTTGGGAACTAAATTGTGAAGTAGATCAGGTTAAGCTCCGAGTCCTGATGAATGAATAAAAAAATTAAATAAAATATATAAGAAACAAAAAAAACGGTCATTTTACTTGATTAGTTGATCATGAGTCGATTTAAAATTTATAAAATTTTTTTTTAAATAATGGAAATAAATAAATGTCGACGTTTCTATTTGAAAAGTTTTATAAATACATAAGTTAACAGAGCAAAAAACGACGTATATGTAATTGAAATATGAAATAAAGAAACCAATAATTATCATATTTGATTAAGTGCAACTGAATAGATTAATTATAAATTATGGTATATTTAAATAATATATTTTTTTTTATTTTTGAGAATATATCATATTTGATTAGGTCCAGCTGAATAGATAAATAATAAATTATATTTTTATCCTGCAGGCATATATCTCAAGAATCTACTATTTTATATAACAACAGACTAAACAAGTGGGGAATACAGATTAAAATCATTAATTTCTGATTTAATTGACTAATTACTGAATAAATTAATCAGTTCATTTTATTAAATCAATCACATTGGCCTGCACTAAGGGACAACATATATTTGCAATTATCCATACCCAATTATGTTATCAACTGCCCATAGAAACTTTTGTACAATATTGAATTAATTTAATCTCTCCCTCAATTTTAAAATTAGTTTTTATATAGCTATATGTATGGAAATGCATTCAATACAAGAGAGGGTATTACACTTTCGACCTCCATTTATTCGTGTTTTTATTGTTTTATTGCCAAGTCGTTGAGGCCAATGGAACGAATTTGGGTCTGAAGCATTTATAAATGTCATCACGTTCACGTGACAATGAGAATCAGCAACTGCTGCTTTTGCGTAAAATATGCCAAAAGTTTAATCCCAAAAATAAAAACAATTGTGTCGGTTTACGGTTCAAAGTGACACCCGGATTGAAAGTTTGGCAACAAACCTTGCATTGCCTTATGTTTTTGAACATTTTCCGGATTTACTAAAAATATTGCATGTCGTACACATTTTCAAACTTGATCCACACCTTAAATTGCCACCTGCCAAATATGCTAAGATAAATTTGATTGTCGAACCCAAACTAACTTTGGGGCTTTTTTTCAAAGATAACTGATCATTTTTGAATTCTTATGCTATTACATAAAGTATGTATGACGTATGTTATTACAGAAAGTATCTTAAAGATTCTTATGTTATTACAGAAGGTATTTTTATTTTGTCGCGAAGTCTGTTAATTTTACTAAAGTAGATACGTTCATCCTGATCGGGAAAACGAGCTTTCAGTTCTGTTTGTCTGACTTTCTGTCCATTTAACTGGAGTATCTCATAGATATATATAGATATACATACATAGAATCTAGCAACATGGTCATTATCATCGGAATTTAGGAATTTATTCATAAACATTTGACTTGTTTCTACCTATACGTTGTTTTTGTTGGTTTTATTTTTATCTGTTCTAATTTGTATGCTTTATTTGGTAAATACGTTTTAAAGTTCAACTTTGAGACACCGACACATAATATATATAATAAGAATTTACAAACTTTTAATTAGGTTTGGTTTTCGAACCGACGCGCCAAATGGCGTCGAGAGGAAAAGCTGCGCACCCAACGACGCTCCGTCGATAATGGAGGCGGTGGCAACAGCAGCCGCGCAAGCACAAATAATCCCGCCGGAGGCACCGGTCCGGCCAATGGTACAACGGCGAACAGTTCGACGCCCGGAATCGCAGGATCCTCCGTTTCAGAGGGAGCATCAGCAGCTCACGCTGGCAACAACAACAATAACCTGGCTGAATCCTCCAATGGACCGACAGTAATACATACCATATATAAAAACAATATATGGCGTATGCTCAACATTTCTCCCACTTCCAGATACACGGCGGCGATACAGGCAATGCCCATACCAACTCCGAAAGCCCACCTTTGCAGGCCGTAGCACCCCGCCTACCCCTAAACTCTGGTTTCAACACAATGTACTCATCCATCCCGCAACCGATCGCAACCATGGCCGAAAGTTACAAGTAAGTCTTCTAAGGTCTTCTGGTCTAGGCGGCTAGCTAGGAGGCTAAAGAGAAAATTGTATCTAGGAAATTTCACTACCCTAACGTTCTCAAACTCATTTCCAAAGATCTTTGCATATATATTTAAATTCCTACATAAGAACCTATTGATGACGTGATTTAACGTTCAACGATTAAAGAAAAGTTTCAAAATGGGGACGTGCTTCACACTTTTCGGTGGAAAATGCGTACCCAAAGGTTGAATGGGCGTAGAGTTTGGGTGTGAGATCATTGGCAAAGATCTCTAAGATAATTAATTTGAAACGTGTTTCACACTTTTCGACAAACCCAACCCTTCTGGCGTGTAGTGGAGCCACAGGTAGTTTCAAACTTCGTTTCAAAGCCCGACATAAGAACTTAGTGAAAACGTTTTTCGCAACTGTGGAAATTTGGCGGAAAATTAAAAACGAATCGGCTTCATACTGATTTTAAGAGGTCTTTGTGAAAATGTATTTGAGACATGTTTCACACTTTTCGGCAAATCCACCCCTCTTGGGCGATTTAATTAATTTATTTAATTAACAAAGATCTCAAAAAATGTGACAAGTGTTAATTTTGTCTTTATTTTATTTTGTGCTTCTACCTCGAACAGCTCGATGACGTCATCATTGAGTTCAATGACGCCCACATGCTTGCAACAAAGGGATAGTTATCCATATATGTTTCACGATCCTCTGTCCCTGGGATCTCCTTATGCTGCCCACCCTCGGAACACAGCCTGCAACCCGGCAGCAGCTCATCAGCAGCCACCACAGCATGGGGTCTATGGCAACAGCTCCGCAGTAAGCACAGCCAATACAGGTGAGTACAGGTGTTGAAAAAAAATCTGTTTTCACAGATAATTAACAAACGGCTTTTTTTTTAATTGCAGGTGTAATATCTGCTGGCGTTTCGGTACCTGTACAAATATCGACTCAGAATGTATCCGATTTGACTGGCAGCAATTATTGGCCGCGACTTCAGTGATCCTCGATCTTTAATTTGCCCACAGAGCTGCTCTCGAAGGCCGCAGCTGCGGCTGCCGTGGCCGTGGCGCATGTTGTCGAAGAACAAGCCCAAACAGTTGCCGGCAATAAGCCGTCTATGGACAACCCACCAATGCTATTACCGCAAATGGCACCCAGCTCATCCCTTTACTTCAATCTAACCGAATCGACAATGAGCCAGAACCTAACGCCACCTACCACACCGTCCGTCACATCCCCAGCCCCAATGATTGCCGGAACGGGATCGGAATCGGGTGTCACTTTTCATCCCAATGCCCAATCTCAAGTATTTCAGCATCCCTTCCATTCGTCCGCCTACAGTCATCCACTTTTCTAGCCAGACAACGAATTGATGCATGAATTAGTCATCTCCAAGAGAGTTTTCTTAAGTTAAATCTATTTTGTGAATTGATTAAAGTAATAAAAAAAAACTTTAACAACTTTAATAATCATTTCTTACATAGAACATTATTTGAACGAAATGCTAGCGAATAAAGAGGTTAAATGTAATTGAGAACAACCCAAATGATCTGATATAAGCTCGGGCAGGTAGACCTAAAATTCTTATAGGATATTAATAAATATTTATGAAAAATGTAAATAGCACGCTTTAAATTTAGTTCTTCTCGAAAAGTTCTTGCTTTAAGTTGTTTATAAAGTTCTAATTAAATTTAATTTAAATTAAAGTCTTGCATTTAATTTTTTACATGATATGAAGAGGCCACAGATTAATGAGATAATTTTCCTAAGGAGCTAAAACAAATGTAGCCCTACTTGATTTTTTGTACATGTATGTAGGTTAAAATAATGATAAACATGAGAATAGCACAGATTCATATTTTCCGAGCTCGACTTCATTTTTGTACATAGGCTAAAATAAGAACTTATACTTGTGTACTTCAAAAGTTAAGAATTTCCAGTTCATCTCTCAAATACGATTAAGCCAAAAAGTAACATAGATTATCGCTCGCCAGAGGGGAGAAGAACAACATACTTTACGAATACAAAAATATAATCGAAAAGAATTGCAACGAAACTAATTATTATTCAATTCTAAAAATTATAATTATGCCAACCATTCATTTACACCTCCCTAGCATAAGACTTAAGTTAAATAAAATGAATGAAAATTACGAAATAGATGTATATGTGCTGATTGTATTTAACCTATGGTTCGAATTTATATGTAGAAACAACAATCGATGTAACATTTTAGTGTTAGTCTGATAAATTCAAAGAGAATAATAAAATCATATATCGCCGAGTCGCATGTATCTTATTTCCATATTTGATGAGCAATTCCACTTGTAAGAGTGGAAAAATCGCGAAAAATGTTTTTTTATTTTCAGAGTTCTTTGTTTAAATTCAATCCATTCCTCCTCTTGGAAATGAAGTTCAACGATTCGATGGTTGAAGTTTCAGGCTCAAATTGTTGTTAAAATTGTTTTATAAATATACTTATAACATTATAAAGATTTGTTGGTCGAAGTTTTAGCTTTTCCTCCGGTTGGCCTCAAACTTATTTTTATACCCTGAACCCATTAAAAATGGGTATAAGGGTATATTGTATTTGTGCAAAATCCAAATGTATGTAACAGGCAGAAGTAAGCTTCTCCGACCCCATAAAGTATATATATTCTTGATCAGCATAAATAGCCGAGTCGATCTAGCCATGTCCGTCTGTCTGTCCGTCCGTTCGTCCGTATGTATGAGCCAAAGGATCTCAGAACCTATAAGAGCTAGAGACTTGAAATTTTAGATGTAGATGCTCCTAGTTCCTGCGCAGATCGAGTTTGTTTCCGATAATCGATAACTTACTCCGTTTCCAAGCAATCGATCAAAATCGATATCGGCATCCTGTTTTTTTTAGCAAATTGGGTAAATAATAAGAGCTAGAGCCACCAAACATGATATGTTGCTTGTAGAATATTATAGATATTTCAAGTATCTTTAATTTCAAACCTATCGCCACCTCCCCGCTACCACCCCAGAGCTATAAATCAAGTTAATAACCCAACTTTTATTGCCAACCAATTTAAACCACAATTTAAATGCAATTGATTTTTTCAGAATACACAAATATTCTATGGTACAATAAGATATACTGTAGAAAATTTCATAAAGATCGGTTAAGAAAAACCAAAGTTATATGCAACTGCGCAATTGAATGGGGCAGCAGCTTTAAGAATTTCTGTATACATGTACACACACACGTTCATGCGCGTCTGCTTCGCATTCTAATAGCATGGTAATTGCATCTTTTTTTTGTAATGTTATTTTAGTTCCTTTTTATCATAAGTATTTAATTGTTGGTGTGGCTGCTGAGTAGAGGCATAGCAAGTGGTGCGGTCTGTCCCGAGTTCGAGCCCTACCGGGGAAAGTATTATTTTTTTTTTTGCTGGTGTGGCTGTTGAGTAGAGTCGACAGCAAGTAATGCGGTCAGTTGCAAATTCGAGCCCTGCCAAGGGAACTTTTTTTTATTAATTTATTTGGTGTTGGAAAAAGATGGTTCAGGGTATCCCCTAGTCGGGAGCTCCCGACTAGAACCTCTTACTTGTCATTATAAAAACTCTGGGAACACATGTTTCAGCTATTTTGGAAGTCCCAGCCGCAAATAAAATGGTTGTAAAGTTTTTTTTTATAAAATCAGCTTCAAAATCATTTCCAAAGACCTAACGTTTCACAAAATGCATCTCTCTTGGATGAAAATGCAGACGATGACAGACATTTTAAAATATCTATGTAGAATATAAATTTGAACGTAGAGTTCCACAAATTTGTAAGAATAATTTGTGATTTTCGAAATGTATTGAACTAACTCGGCATTTAGTGGTTGTACTACGCTTCTTACAAATGAGAAGGCAATCATTTTCTGTAGATCAGCTCCACCGTCGACTTCGTGAGCGAGCTTTGGACCCGAACAAAAACGAAGAAGTCGACGGTGGACCTGTGGTGGATCGACGGAAATTTAGTGGCTATCAATGTTTCTTCTGGCTGTCCCATCTATACGATGAATGGTTAACCCAATCCGCCAAAGGGGGGAGATGAAGAACAATATCGGTTGTTCTTTTTATTTAATCTTCATACAGATTTTAGACTCAAAGCGATGTAAATTAAACTCATATTGACGCCTTAATTAGTACATGGCAAAATAAATGTAAACGTTTCAAATCGAAGTCCAACTATAGAATAAACAATTCTTGAATGTTGTTCACAAATTTTATTCGTATATATTAAAATATTTTACACGCACACACACACATAGATGCAAATACATTAATCATATTCTGATACATGTTACATAGGTATTGAGTTTGAGACTGATTCAGTCGACTTAGATAAATTACATTTTGTATAATATGGCGATGTAACCAGATGAATTAAGTAAAACATATATCAATGTCTGACATACTTAGTCCATTCAAACGGATCGATCGCATTGGAACACACACAAATCAGTATAATTTCAGTTGAATTGAAACTTACCATAGAAATTGGGGTCTGTTTATATTATTTGTTGGATACTCAGTTATAAAACTTTGCTTAACATAAAACTAATTGGATTGTATACAAAATATGTGTATATTGAATGACGAGACACACCTTTGAAATAAATATTTGTACAGATATGTTAATAATAGCGGAAGCTTCATATTATTTATTCATTTATTTTTTCTCGACTTTTTTGTTCTTGTATAAAGCAACACAAAACCAAGTCAATTTTCCTTCTTCTCTTTTTAAGTACTTGTTTTAAGATTGTGCAAACCTAGCTGATAGTGGTAATTTATTCAGTTATGCTTAATGTTACTTTATATTATTGGATTGCTAGAGTAATTAGACATAAATGTACATCGTTTTATGGACTATCATTATATTTTTTACGCACAACCACAATATATTTTTGGCTAATGTCCCTTGCGAGTTGTCAAGCAAATAAATAGGTATATATATATATATATATATATATAAACTTTACTTTGCTTAACAACCTTTAAGGGACATCACCAAAAGAACAGAAAAAGTTAAGGAATCTCAATTTAAATGACTATAATATGTACAAACCTAGTTTGATTTGCTTAGGCCTTACGTTCTAACCATTCGCAAGGTATATATTTTTTTATTGAATTATTTCTTAAGCATTGGCGAAAATTAAATTTGAAAAAATATTACAAGATCATTGCCGTTTAGTCGGTAGTTGATACATTTATGCTAAGTATGCAGGTCCTGTATCGGTGGTTCTATAGTGCACACAGATATGCACTATAGATTTAGCTTACTTTAGACTATATAGACATGTGCACACGTGAGAATTAAACAATATTCATGTATTTTCCTAAGGATGCACTTACGTGATGACATCGGGCTTTGGACTGTATTATATTCGTATTCAGTCTTCGGAATACAGTGCATAGCCCCCATGTTAAAGCAGAAAGAAATCAAAATAAATTATTTAAAAAAAAAAAAACTACATATTTCATGTATGTACTCGTTTTCTAGTTATTGGTGGGTTATTTAATATAATCTAATAATTTCTTCTTAAGTGCTTTAATATTAATTTGATTTCTTGTTTTTAGACAACTTGAATTTAATTTAAGTTTGAGAAAAAATGCTTGCATCAATTTAGTTATCTTCTTTGCAACATTTACAAATACATGCATTATTTTTGATATTTTTTGAAATCAAAGATTTTGTTGAGAATTCATTAAAATAATTTCACACTTTTTCGCTGTTCAAAATGAAACAACACGGACAAGTTTTTGTATATATCTATAAGTAGCAATGTGTATACAACTATTGTTGATCTGTAATCCTTATATAGCATCTTATTTTTTACAAACATACATAATGACATACACACATATACATTTTAGACATTTACTTACTACAGATTTTTATAACCGATAGCGAATACATTCTTGTGTATTTCATCATGTCTTTATCATATATATATATACGTTTAGTGATATAAAATTGACCAGATAAACCTTTTAATTAAACTCTAAAGAACATATAAGTGTATAAGCACGCATAAGCCGGTTCCCACTCGTTGTATATCATGGAAGGAAAAATTACGCATTCTCAGAAAACACAAACGAACGTTTTTTCAATATAGTATAGATAACAAATCATCTTATTTTTTTAGAATATTCATTATCCGGAATGGGTATATCCACAGATTTACTACAAGAAAAGAAATTACAAATAAAGGAGAGAAAAACGAAAAAGATTTGAATGAATAAAATTTATTCCATCATTGCACTTATTGTGCCACAATAGTTGTCTAAACTATCAATCCTATAAAACTCGAAGGTAAAAATAATAAATAATTTACACATAAATGTTATGAAATACGTACATGCATTAATCGAAAATTAATCAAAATTGCGCAGATATATTAACATCTGTAATTACAAACTTATAATAGTAATAATGCACACATATATATATATATATCTTTAATTATATAAACTGAAATGATGTCACGGTGTTGTTGCTATTTCATCGAATGCTTTAATATCTCTATGTATATATGTAGCTATCCAAGTAGTCTGCTGATGGATTATATTAATATTTTCAATGACGAGTTGAGTTGACTTTGTCGAAATTAAATGCGGATACCACACAAATAACTGCAAAGCTGCTTCGCCCCGATATACCTTTTGTCGGTAAAAAATAGTATTGTTACGTTTAGTTTCCGCAGGGCTACCAGGTAACATAGTATGCTTTGATAGAAGAACTAATGTAATACAAAATTTCGTCTGTTTTACTACACGTGACATTGTAGTTGTGTATCTTTCATCAGATTTGATGCAGATTTATGTTTACAAATTACATTTTACATAGATACATACATATATATTTTAAATTAAATTATCAATTAGTTTTAATGTATATTAAAATCAGTCGATTTTTCCGTTTACGTTTGGATTATTTTATATATATATATATATATTGAATATCGATTCTTAGACATTAATATTACTGACATGCATTATAGTGTAATAAACATACAAACATTTTACATAAATATCAATGAGCAAATTCCATACATGCCCACAAAAAAAAACACTTTTTTTTTTATCCTTTCCTCGACAAGTAGCATAGTCAATGGAATGATGTTAGTGTAAGTGTATGAATGTGCTAAGTTTATGGCAGTACGACTTTACGGCTGTAAAAGTTTATGGCTGCATCACATACATTAATTAGATGAGGGACTTAAACAAA